CCTCACCCCCACCCATTCTCTATCTCATTCACGGCACGCCACACAGTAGGTGTACATCGCCCCCCCTACCATTCTTATCTCACTTCACTCACCCACAACAATGGTAGTGTACACACCTCATCCCGTCCCCACCATTCTCCACATCTCATTCACTCTACCCACACAACGGTCAGGTGGCTACACACCTCATCACCCCACCATATCTCTCATCTCATTCACTCACCACCACCAAAGTAGCGTGTACACACCCTCACCCCTCACCCATTCTCGATATCTCATCACTCACGCGCCACAACAGGTAGGTGTACACCCCCCCCCACCATTCTTCCCTAATTCACTTCACTCACCATCACAATCGGGTAGCTGGTACACACTCCACCCCCCCCCCGGATTACTTCTATCTCATTTCACTACACCACACATAGGTAGGGTAACCACCCCCCCTCCCACCATTTCTCCTATCTCATTGCAGCTCACCCACACTCATTAGGTTAGGTGTTACACACTCTCATATTCCCACCCACCCATTTCTACGCCTCCTCTTCTATCCTTCACTTCACTCACCACACAAGGTAGGGGACACCCCCCCCCACCATTCTCTATCGCAATTCACTCACCCACATCCAAGCGTAGCATATTACACACTCTCACCCCCCCCCATCCATCTCTTCTATCTCAGTCACTCACCTTACAACAAGGTAGGTTACCCCACCTATATACCCCTTCACCATTTCCCCTCTTCTCTATTCACTCACCCACACAGGTAGCCGTGACCCAACCGCACCCCCCCACCATTCTCTATCTCATTCCACTCACACCACACAAGTAGGGTACCACCTTACCCCCCCCCCCCACCATCTCTATCTCATTCACTCACCCACACAAGGTAGGTGTACACACCTCACCTCCCCCCCCCACCATTCTCTATCTCATTCACTCACCCACACAAGGTAGGGTGTACAACCTCACCCCCCACCATTCTCTATCTCATTCACTCACCCACACAAGGTAGGTCTAGGGTTGCGTGTAACACGTCTCACCCCCCACCTATCTCTATCTTATTCACTCACTCGCCAACACAAGGTAAGAGTACCACCTCACCCTACCTATTCTCTATCCTACCACACTCACCCACACAAGGTAGGTGTACACACCTCACCCCCCACCATTCTCTATCTCATTCACTCACCCACACAAGGTAGGTGTACACACCTCACCCCCCACCATTCTCTATCTCATTCACTCACCCACACAAGGTAGGTGTACACACCTCACCCCCCTGTAATAGTATGGACTACTTCCTACGCGCATGCACACATTCTATAATCTAGAAATTATTGTTCATACAGGACTGAACATTTTTCCAAGGACTTTTCAAGGACATTTTATCAGAAATTCAAGGATATTTTATCGGAATTCATACACAGAACAAAACATACCTGGATTAATTTAATAAACCCTTCATAAACACTGTCACTTGTATTTTGATTTGTATTTGTATTTGTCACACTGTAATTTGTGACCATCATTTAACTGTCTATCGTGTCTATAGCTTTTTAAGCTCATTTAACGCAATTTTTATTGAGGTTTGCGCATTATTGATGGTACGAAATTTCTTTTTATTACAGGCAAGGATTTTTTTTTTAAATTCAAGGACATTTTCATGAAATTCAAGTACTTTTCAAGCGCAAAATCAACATTTACTAAATTCAAGTACTTTTCAAGGACTCCCCTCAAATTCAAGGACTTTTCAAGGACTGTCCGAACCATGTGTTAGGTCAGCGCGGATCGATATCGCTCGCACTTGTTCGCCAGTTCGTGTGTGTTAAGCAGCAACATGTACCAGCTCCTACATTAAACTATCTTTTGAGTTACATCCCTCTTCGTCATTACTCAACACCACCTGCGCAACCCCTTGCTTCGCGACGACGATCGCCCCGCCCGACGAACAACCTGCTAGGTGGCGCCACGTACCGCTCTCTCGGATGAAGCGCGTCACGAGGAAGTGGTCTCGGAATGCAGTGCTGAAGAGGCCGGACCCACGCGGGCTCGGGCTCACGCTGGACAGGCTGACGGACGGGGACCTGAGGCTGTCCATCATGGCCGCTGGGGTCGGTCGGTCGCTGCGCGCGCGAGTCTCCGTTCTCCCGCCCTGCCTCGCAAAGAAACGCTTCGTGTGAGACGGCTGCGAGATACACCGACTGTAGATCAATTCCGGTTACTCGCGTTGGACACTCGTGCGCGAAAGATTTAAGTAATTCTCATAAAAGTGTTTTATATGTTCTGCTAAACGGTTTATATGAAGCTGATGTAATAGCATTATTAGCGCCACCTGTAATAGTATGGACTACTTCCTACGCGCATGCAGACATTCTTTAATCTAGTAATTATTGTTACATGGTTCATACAGAACATAAAATTTTTTCAAGAACTTTTCAAGGACTTTTCTAGTACATTTTATCAGAAATTCAAGGATATTTTATCGGAATTCATACACAGAAGAAAACATACCTGGATTAATTTAATAATAACCCCATTCTTAATCACTGTCACCCCTAAAACTTACCTGGATCACATTAATAAACCCTTCATAAACACTGTCACATGTATTTTGATTTGTATTTGTATTTGTCACTGTAATTTGTGATCATCATTTAACTGTCTATCGTGTCTATAGCTTTTTAAGCTAATTTAACGCAATTTTTATTGATGTTTGCGCATTATTGATGGTACAAAATTTCTTTTTATTTCAGGCAAGGATTCTTTCTAAAAATTCAAGGACATTTTCATGAAATTCAAAGACTTTTCAAGCAGAAAATCAACATTTACTAAATTCAAGTACTTTTCAAGGACTCCCCTCAAATTCAAGGACTTTTCAAGGACTGTCCGAACCATGTGTTAGGTCAGCGCGGATCGATATCGCTCGCACTTGTTCGCCAGTTCGTGTGTGTTAAGCAGCAACATGTACCAGCTCCAACATTAAACTATCTTTTGAGTTACATCCCTCTTCAGGCTTTCAGATTTGAAAAGTACAGGAGGACTACTAATGACTCCCCTAGAACACCATAGGGGGACTTTTCACGCTCCATAATCACACCCTTAAGAGGCATGATGGAGAGCTCCATTAAAAAATCACACCCTTAAGAGGCATGATGGAGAGCTCCATTAAAAAATCACACCCTTAAGAGGCATGATGGAGAGCTCTACTAAAAATCACACCCTTAAAAGGTCTGCAATTGTTTTAAGATACGACGAAGGGTGTATGAAAGCTGCATTCTCATTGGCTACTGAAAACAGAGTTGGGCTAGAATAGATACTCCAGTCAGGGCACGCGATCCATTGCAACATTGACAACTCTATGGAAAGGGAAAACTAGCCTCAAGGCCACGCGTGACGCGGCGGCTTTTGATGTACACGATCGATCGATCGCGTACTATATATACGGTCTGCGTAGCACGCGCGGCAAACACACACACACACACTTGCAGCGTCAAATAAACGCACACACTGGCCAACGTCTGACAATTTCAAACAGTGAACTAAGCCGTGTCTATATTGTAAAGCAAACTATATTACAATG